TGCTGTTTTCCCCTAACAAGTATGTAATAGCCTTCTTTATGTCTTTTGATTGTTGTCATTTTGAAGTTTACATTGTCTGTACACATAGTAGCTATACCTGCTGTTTTCTGGGTGTCTGTTGCATGGAGAATTGTTTTCCATCCTTTGACTTTCAGTCTATGGATTTCCTTTTGAGTAAAAGGTGTTTTCTGTATACAGCATATCGTTGGATTTTGTTTCTTAATCCACTGTGCCAGTCTGTTTCTTTTGACTGGTGAATTGAGGCCATTTACATTAATGGTTATAACTGATATGTGTTGGCTTATCATTGTCATGTTATTTACTTGCTGTTGGTTTCCTACTTTTTCTACCTGTTTAATTGCTTTCTCTGCTTGAGGGTTCCTTTCTATTGTTGTTCTTGTGATTGTGGTAATTTTTTTCTCTGTCTGGAATATCTTTTAGTACTCTTTGTAAGGATGGCTTAGAACTCATGAAGTTCTTCAGTTGTTCTATGTTGTGGAAATATTTTATTTCTCCATTGAATTTGAAGGTTAGTTTGGCAGGATATATCAATCTTGGTTGGAAGCTGTTTTGTCTCAGGACCTGTAATATTTTGCTCCAAGCTCTTCTCAATTTGGTGGTTTATGTTGAGAAGTCTGCCATGATTCTGATCGGCTTTCTTTATAGGTGCTCTGTTTCTTTTCTCTAGCAGCTTTTAATATTCTGTTCATTTGCTGGATATCTGGGATCTTGATTAGGACATGTTTGGATGTAGTTTTAGTTTGATTAGGACTAGCTGGAGTTCTGTATGACTCTTTTGCCTGTATATCAGATTCTTTTCCCATGTTTGTGAAATTTTCTGCTATTATTTCTGCAAATATTCTTTTCCTGTGGTTTGTATTGCCTCCTGCTGTTTCATTGACTCCTGTTAGTCTTACATTATTCCTCTTTGCCTTGCCTTGCAGCTGTTGAATTTATTTTTCCTGGTTCCTTGTGGATTTTAAGAGATCCTTTCTTTCACAGTCGCTAGCTGCCATGCTGTCTTCAAGATTTGAAATTCTATCATGGGCTTCACTCAAGCGGTTTTGCCAGCTTTCAATGCAAGCTTTCATTTTTTGGATGTGTCTTTGATTATGTTTCATGTGTTTTAGTTCATTCCTATATTGTTCATGTAACATTTCCATCTGTTGCCTATGTTCATTTTTTTTTATGTTTCTTCTTTAGATGTGCTGAGCAATTCTTTCATTATTATTGTCATTTCATTTTTTGCCTGAGAGGTTATTTCTGATCTGATCTCTTCTATGTCCTGATGGAACTGTTTCTTTACTTCAATTGCAATCATTTCAGCAATTTCAGGTGTGTGTTTACCAAGTTCTCCTATGTCAGTGTCTCCTGGACTTGTTCTGAGTGGGGTGGAGTTCTGAGATTGCATTTTAGTCCTTCATCTTTTCATGTTTGCTGCTGGAGGCAGAATGCTCAGTCTCCCTCTTCTCTGGCAGCTCAGCCAAGGTGGCTTTTGTCCCTAGTTTTCCTGGTGGTCAGGCTTGCTCTTCAGTGGCCGCTGAGATGTGCTGCTTAGTCTGGGGTCTTCTGGCAGATGATGAAGTGTACCTAGTTCTCCCAGGTGTCAGATGTGAACTGTGATGTCAGCTGATGGCAGATCATCTGATCCATTGTCCTCTAACAGCTCAGGCCATGAGTATGACCCAGAAGTGGGCTGCACTGGTGGCGTCGTCATTGAGCAGTGGTTCTGTGTCCCCAGGCAGTTCAGGGCATAGGCAGTACCCAGACATGAGTCACAGGGTCAACAGTTCATGTCCCACCTTATTCTGTGTCCCATGCAGCTCAGTGTGTGCACAGGAGCCAGATGCAGGGTGCACTGGTGGTGATCATGGACCACCCATGTCTGTGACCCTCAGGAGGTTAAGGCCTAAGTAAATCCCAGATGTGAACTGCAGTGCCAGCAGTTCATGGACAGCCTGCTCTCATACCTCAGGCAGCACAGGGCATGTGGAGGCAGGGCCCAGGCACAAATTCCAGTGTTAGTTCTGGGCCTTCTGGGTCAGGACCTCCTGTCTGTACCGAGTGCATGGAGGGCAGAGACTCAGAGTGTAATGGCGCCGGGGTTGTGTGTCACCTGCTCTGCCCCCAGGAGATAGATGGGAAATACCTGGTTCTCTGGGTATTCAGCTGTGAACTGTGAGGTCAGTGGATCAGGGACTGCCTGATTCTGCATCTCCAGGCAGCTTGGGGTGTGCACAGGAGCCAGACATGGGCTGCACTGGCTGTGATCATGGACCACCCATGTCTGTGACCTCCAGAAGGTCAATGTGCAAGACTTTTTATTTTAAAGAGAAAAAATAATAATAAAATAACAACAACACAGACAAAAAGAAAACAACACAAAAACAATAAAAATGAAACATAATTTCAAAACAAGATGATAGGAATTAACCATGGTTGTTATATTATATACTGTTATCTTCAACCAAGTTTCTCAGATTACCAGATGTAAGAATGCAAGATTGATCAAACAATTAAAGAGCATAAAAAATAATAAAAAACCCATTAGAAATGATACTGAATTTCATTAAACAGGATAATATGAATTCAACAATGGTTGTTATATTACATATTGTTGTCTTCAAATTAGTTGTTCAGATTACCAGATATAAGCATGCAAGATTGGTCAAAAAATTTTAAGCATTAGCTGTTCTTTTCAATAAACCAATAGACATCAGCAGTACAATTATCCTAGCTATCCTTGCATATACATGCATATTTTTCTCTTCTTTCTATCTTTTTCTCCTTTCTCTCATCCCAATTTTTTCTTCCCTTTGAACAGTTTCTTTCCCTTTCACAATATTTATTGTACCTTTTGGATTTTATTTACTCTTTTCGGTTCTTACACTAGGGAGACAATATGATGTTTACATATACTGGTCTGATTTATTTCAGTTATGAGTATGTTCTCTAGTTGCATCCACTTATGTATAAAAACCTTGAGTTTATCTTTTTCATAGGTGAGTAATACTCCATTGTATAAAAATACCATATCTTTTTCATTCCTTCCTCAGTTGATGGACATTTGGGTTGTTTTGAAGATTTAGCTGTGACAAATTGTGCTTGTATAAACATGGGTGCACATACATTGCTGTGGTATGATGTTTTCAGTTTTTCTGGAAAAATACCCAGGAGGGGAATAGCTGAGTTAACTGGGACCTTTAATCCTAGCTTTGTGAGGAATCTCCACACTGATTTCTACAGTGATTTCACTAGTCTACACTTCCACCAGCAGTGGAGAAGAGTTCCTTTTTCCCACAGCTCCTCCAGCATTTGTTATTGGTTGATTTCTTGATCATAGCCATTCTTTTTGGAGTGAGATGGAATCTCAGTGTTGTTTTAATTTGCATTTTTCAAATGGCCAATGATTGGAAACATTTTTTCATATATTTATTTGCCATTTGTATTTCTTCATCTGAGAAATGTGTACTCATCTCAGATGCCCAAGTTTTGATTGGGTCTTTCAATTTTGGGGGCCGGATTTTTAAAAATTCTTTATGTGTTGTAGATAGAAGTCCTTTGTCGGAGGGACAATTGGCTAAAAATTTTTCCTGATTCGTGGGTTTTATTTTTACTCTGTTGGTGATTTCTTTTAATGTGCAAAAACTTTTCAATAAGATGAGATCCCAGCTTTTGATTCTTTGAAGTATTTCCCATTCTTTGAAGTTTTTGTTCATGAACTCTGCCTACCCTTATGACTTCAAGATTTTTACCCACATTAGCATTTAAAAATTTTGAGGGAAGCCAGGAGATTGGCCCTTAGAGGAAATCAGTAGTTCTTGTGGTGGTTAATAATGTATGTCAAGTTGACTGGGCCTGGGCTGCCCAGCCACTGGGTGAAGCATTATCTGATGTGTGTCTGTGAGGATGTTTCTGGAGGAGATGAACACTTGATTTATAGACTAAACAAAGCAGATTGCCCCTCTAGTGTGGGAAGACCTTATCCAATCAGCTGAGGGTCTGAGCAGAGCTCTGACATTGCTTCCTGTCCTTGGTCTTTGCACAAATCTCTGCAGATCAGAGCCTGATCTTCAGCACCATGGACAGTGACCAGGATGTTCCCATCACGGGACTGACTTGTGCTGTCCATAGTCACGCAGTATTGATTCTTCATCCTTCCTCTTCATACTTCCAAGAACACCCAGGGCAGAGGATCTTGGCTGTGTCTGTGAGGCTCCCAGGGTCAGTGTTTGTATGGGGCTGCCAAATGCTGCTGATGCTGCTTCAGAACGTCTCCCTTGGGCTGAATCCCAAGTGCTCTCACTTCTGCCAGGGAAGCCTGGGTTCCTGAGAGGGAAATGTGGGAAGGCTATGTGGTGGGGAGGAAAGGAAAGGACCCCACCTACTATCTGCCTTTTTCTGTACAAGCTGAAATGGGCAGCAGATCCTGGGGAGAGTAGAGATGTGTGGATGTGTGTGTGGGATCTCTCTGAGGCAAACCCAGTGGGGAGATTTCATTCTTTTCTGATTGAGCCCCATTTGTCTTCATATGTAAACACTTGGGGACATGAATAAATTTCCCTGGTTGCTCTGCCACTCATTTTTCAGTTCACTCATCTGCTCTACATTGTATCCATCCATTCATTCCCTCTTTCTTTAGTGTGTGCTTTGTCTACCTTTTTTCTCTAATCAAAATAGGACATTTATTAGGAGAGCACAAGGAACACAAGCATAGAGAACAGAGTAGCTGCACCTCACAGAAGCCTGGAGCCATGGTTCCAAGTAGGAACCATGTCAGCTTCATTTCTTCTGCCAGCCTGCTACATGGTCCCTCACCTGCTTCTCACTGCTCATCATTGCCTCCTCCTGTCTTTGCGTCTACTGGCTTTTCTTCATGGACGCTGCCTGACCCTAGCTTAAAGTGTGGTCTTTGTTTTGCTAGCAAAACAGAAATGGCCTCCTAATTTTTGTCCTCACATCCACACTTGCTGATCTACACCATTTTATTCTGTTCACAGCAATGAGAGGAATTCACAGCAGTGGAGAATGTGTCCTGTGCTTTCCCACACTCCCAGGAGATGGATAATGAATTCTCAACATGCTGTGGAGCTGGATCGCTACTCAAAGATGCAGCAACCTTTGTCGAAGGGCTCTTCCTTGCCCTTTGTGGCTCTCCAGCATGGCAAAGGTGTGGCCAGTAACAAATGAAATGTGGGCCAGTGTGTCATTTCCTGATTTTCTTTCAAATTGAGGCCACAATGTAGAAAGAGACAGCTTGCTTAGCCTACTTGTTACTTATTAATCCAAACTGTTTCTTACTGCTTTCTGCTTGTGGCCCAGCATCCTGACACAGCTCAGGGTGTAGAGTTCAGCATAGCCTGGTCATAGCACTGAGCAGGCATAGGTGGGGCCAGAGGAGCCTACAGGATGTTGTGGTGATGCAGAATGGCTTCCAGAGTGATCCAGATCCACCTCCAAGCTGGGTCTCCAAGAAACACCCATCACTTGGCCAGGGCATGACACTGAGCTGGAACTGAACATGAGTTAATGAGTGAGGGGATGAATGACTAGAGTGGGGAGCCTGTCTCTGCACATGACCTAAACAGGGAAAGCCCTTCTGAGGAGGTGTATTAGTTAGGGTTCTCTAGAGGAACAAATTGATCTATCATCTATCATATTTATCTATCTGTCTGTCTATCTATCTATCTATCTATCTCTTTATAGGATATAAAGGATTTATTGGGTAGGCTTATAGTGGCTGCCTGTGGAACCAGAGGTGGAAGAAGACAACATGGCCATCTGTGTGCTGGAGAGTTAGAGAATCCAGGCAAAGGCTGAAGTCCTGCTGATCCCTGCAGAGTGTGGGATAAGTATGTGCTGGAAGGCTGAGAGTCAGTGCTGGCAGTCTAAAACAACTGGAGAGAAACATCCAAGGTGGTGGCAAAGAGCTCCCCCAAAGAAGCAAAGGAAAAACTTTCTTCTTTACTTTTTTTTATCCCATCTAGGCTGCAAGCCTGTTATGGTTTGTATCTAGATGTTTTCCCCTCCCAAAGCCTCATGTGGTCACAGGTGGGGCTTTTTAGAGGTGGCTGGAGCTATAGTATATGATGCTGGGATCAAGGATATGATGCTGGGATTGATTCAGGTTGTGATGCTAGGATTAAGGCTGCCTCACCTCGGATGTGAGAGTTACCTGCCCTAAGGGTGGGCAGCCTGGATAGGATATAAGGGGAATAAAAGAGTGTCACTGTTTGCCACTTGTTGCTGGCTACTTTTTCACTGCTTTGCTGCCTCTTGGCTGTTAAGAACTGTTTCTGCTTTGTGGTACCCTTCTGCCATGTCACTGTGCCTTGGAGCCAACGAACAATGAAATAAAACCTATACAAACTGAGCTAAATAAACCTTTCCTCCTTTAACTTTGAATGTTGGATATTTTCTCTTAGCAAGAAGAAAAGTACTAAGATAAAGCCTATTGGTTGGTACCACCCACTCCAGGGTGGGTCTTCCCTTCTCTGTTTGTAGCCTACATGTCCATCATCCATGAACACCCCAGAATTTTATTAATCTTCAAGATGGTTCTTACTCAAGTAAGGTTGACATATCACAGTAATGATCACAGGAGGTGAGTCCTAATAGGACCAGTTTTCTGGCTTCCATAAACTGGAAACCCTCACACCTACCTCACAAGGGTTCTGCACAGGTGGTTACATGCCTGTCACCTGCTTTGCCAGCCTGCTTCCCTGTCACTGCCCTCACTCCTTTTAGGAGGAATTTTCCTCCCACAGTAGGGAACTTTTTGAGTACAAAACAAGAAACCCAGAGTCTTGTCTTAATCCTCTGGAAAGTCTGTGAGAATTATGAGGTTTAAAACATTAGTAGGAGCGAGGCTTCAGGCTGGATTGTAATCACTGATGTTGTAGGCAGAGTCTCATCATGGTTTTATCTCAACTTCTCCCTCAGCTAGATGTTGTCATCTTGGGCCTCTCTTTGTGAGAGTTAATGTCCACTGATACTTATGGGTGGCTGTAGGTCCAGAGCCCTTCACTACCTCAGTTATGCCTTTTTGAATCACTTAAAATTTTGCCCTTTTGCCCTCCATAACTGGAGAATAAATGGGGATCCTTCTGGGTTTTCCTTCACTGTCTTCCAAGATCTGCTGTTTCTTGGGGTTCTGTCTTCTCTCTTGTGTCTTCCTTGGCTTGCATATGTTGTCTGTTCTGAGGAACACATTTTGTCATGCCTGGGGAATGGGAGGAAATGGGAGGTTAGTCAGTGAGATTTTCTACATGGGAAATTCTTCTAATTCCACATTCATCGTAGATTGAAAATTAGTTAAATATATATGTTGGGTTGGAAAGTATTTTTAGCAGATGTTTCCCCCTAGAAATTTGATGGCCTTGCTCATTTCTGTTTAAGCTCCATTTCTCTGTTGCTGATGAATATATGAAGCCACTGTGATACTTAATTGATTCATGTAACATGTATTTCTCCTCTGGGGGCTAGTGTTATTTAATCTCTATCTTAGTGTTGTAATATTCAAAGTGATTTCCCTCAGTTTGAGTCTTGCCTTAGTCCCTTTTCTCATCACAGGAACACAATACTCAACACCCATAAATTAAAGAAGCAGAGCTTTATTTTGGCTCACATGTACAGCCCACAGTTGGCTGGCTCCAAGGCAGGATGACATGGCAGGAGAGAGGTTGCTCATATCGGGACTAGGAAGCAGAGAGACAATGAAGGGAGGATCTGGGGATGGAGATGAACCCTTCCAGGCCACACCCCCAGTGACCCTCCTCTTCTGACCTTATCCTTACAGCAAATCAGCTACAAGCCCCGTAATCTAGTCACCTCCCTCAAGTCCTGTCTGTGAGCACATAGGCTCGCGGGACATCTAAACAGTAAGTTTGCACTGAAAATATGATGGATCCTTTTCATCCAGAAATTTCTCTCAGACTTGGGAAATTTCCCAATATTATTTCATTGATTCTTTCCTTAATTCTTTCCTCCACCATGTTCTGTGTGAGGAATACTGTTATCTGTTCATTGGACCAATTCTCAGAATCTATTCCACTTTCTGGGAGATTTCTTCATTCTACTTCCAAATCTTCAGTTGAGGTTTCCACAAAAACTGTCCTGGGAATGTAACTGAGGGGCTCTTACTTGTACAGTACTGAGTGTGGACGGTTCACACAGGATAATCTGGCCAGGAAGAGAACACTGGGTGCCTAAGAGAAAAGACAAAACCTGCTAACCAGGCACAAATTTGGATTCTGCAGATGAATTTCACCTAGTTCCCTTTCCCATAAATTACAGATGGATAAAACAGGAGTTCATATAAATGTCAAGTTCTATGAACTGATTAAGAGGAGTTACTTTCTCTGAAAGGGAAGAGACACAGAAATTGTTACAAAGTTTTGATTTAAACATGGAATTGTCACAGTCCTGTAATCTACATTCACAGCATCCAGGACATCCTGCCCAAGGGTAAGGTGTCAGCAGGATCAGTCCCGTTTGAGGGGTGAGAGAGAAACTGACCAGGCCTCCCTCCCTCCTTGTCATGTGCTGGTAGTCTTATGCCTGTCTTGGTTTGTATACCATTTTTTTTTTTTTTCTCTCCGGTACCGGGAACCGAACTCACGACCTTGCGCTTGCCAGGCAGGCGCTTTTGCCGCTGAGCTAAATCCCCAGCCCCTGTCTTGGTTTGTAGAAGAATCATTTCAGTCTGCCTCAGGTTCAGTACAGAGAAAGCTGGAGCAGTTCTTTATTCAGCCCACCATCAGGCTCCCTGGTGACTAACACTAACACCATGGCCAAATGAGGTGTGACTCATTTCTTGGTAAATCACGTAGAGGTGTCAGCTGTGCAGATGTGATCTGGCAGGAAAAACATTTAGAAATAGGACATTCCAAACACTGGATGTTTAAAGCAAACTGTTTAACCCAGCTTCTTATTTCTCAGAAGTAATGCTCAAGTTTGAGATAGAAGTCAGAGCGATTATGTGTCATTTTATACTGTTATAGGACAAATATTACTCATTTTCTTGGCTAGGTGTTTTCTTGTGGGTCATTTAACTAGTCATGTGAGATAAATGATATTATACTAATTTTTACAGATGAAGAAACTGAACCTAGAAAGTAATAAAGGAGAGGAACACAGTAAGTAAGTAGTTAGGAATGATGGATTAAAATGTTTCTGATTTTTTAAAATTGAAAATATGAACTCCTGGATTTCTCTGGTGCTTGACCTAGGAGACCCACCTGCAGAAAGCAAGGTCTGGCATATTTGCATTTGGTTCCATTTGCTTTGGTTAAAGTATGAAGCCAAAGAAGCTCAAAACATTTTTGCCATACCAGTTTTGTTTTTTCTTGGCTATGTGGCTACTTTACAAGGAATAGTTTGCAATCACTTCATGTTAAACTGAGTGCTGAGATGCCACTGTCCTGTGACTACAGTGAGGAAAGCAGGTGCCAAGCCTTTAACAGGAAAGGCTGGTGAAGTGGGACACACTGTCCAAGAGGCCTGCAAATATTTTGCAACCAAGAAAGTCTTCAGACACTTCTTCCCTGCTTGGTCAGCAATCAACATTTCATGTCTGTGTGTTTGTTTGAAAGAGGGTCTTGCTGCATAGCTCACGGTGGCTTCAAACTTGTGATCCTCCTGCCTCAGTCTTCTGAGTGCTGAGATTAAAGGTGTGCACCGCCACGCTCAGCTCAGATGCCCAGATCATATTGTTTTCTTAATAAGAATTTTAAGTTGATGATTAAGTTATTTTCCAAAATTCTTTAAATAGCACATCACCAAGGACTCTAGTACACATGGACTATGTATGTATGTATTTAACTATCTCATGCTTTCCCCCATACATTTGTCCTTACCTTCAGTATGTATTGCATGATCTACCAAGCAAATAAACTGAACTGAAGAAGCACAGTTACATGAAGAGAGCATCATGGTGCATGGTGTGGTGGATTGACAACTGGTGGTCAACTTGTAACATCCAGCTGAACTGGGTAAGCATGGTGCTGGGTATGGGAGGCCCACCCGAGGACTGTTGCCAGCAGCATAAGAGGCAGAACTGGAAACGAAGAAGTTGGGTTGTTGGGAACTGAGAAAGGCTGTTGGAGCTGGTAGAAGCTGTTGGGAACCTGTTGGAAGCTGAGAGAAGTGATGAAAAGCTATTAGTTCTCCTGGAGGAGCTTGTCATGCTGGCTTTCCTGATGAACTTGGCTGTTTTCATCCTCCAAGGAGCTTACAACCTTGTTGTTGCTGAGAATGGCTTCAGTTCACTTTGGGGAAGCTCTGGTCTTCACATTGAGCATTGCTTCCTGGCTCTGGAATGGAAGATGGTGTACTGCTCCATCTTCTGGAGAAGCTTGTTGAGTTGGCTTTTCTGATGGGAACTCAATTGTCCTGATCATCAGAGGAGCTCAGGACCTCACTATTGCTGAGGATGGCTGTGGTACTTTTCTGGGATGCTCTGGTTCTTACTTTGAGCATCACTTCCTGGCTCCAGTGTAGATCCCTCAGCCTGCTAGCACAAATCCTTTATCCCACTGGCACAGACCTTCTAGCTTCCACTACTGACCTTTGGGCCTCCCAGCACAGATCCATGAATAGGCTAGCATGGGACATTGTCGTGGGCTCTTGGCCTCCAGTTGGACTCATGGGACGCATTGTTATGGGCTCTAGGTCTTCAGCTGGACTTATGCAGGACCTTATTGTGGGGTCCAGGCCTTCAACTGGATTCCTTGGTCTTTAGTGTGTGGACAAATTTCCTGCACTGTCTTATATGAATCTTTGAGTGACTGTTATAAATAACCTTATAAAATATGTGTCATATTATATTGCTCATCTTGCATAAAACCCCAAACCAGGACACATGGTATGCAAGAGAAAAAGAGCTTATGGAAATATAAGAGGT